CAAGTAGGTCATTTTGAGTGGCATGAAAATTTGGCATGTTGTGGCTTGAGCTTGGCATGTTTGACTTGTCGTGGCATGGAAACATTTTGGCTTGGAAACATTAGCCTTGAGGCCCCAGAAGTTAAAAAGCATCTAGTGGTAGGACCCCTAGGAGAAATTGGAGGCTCAAAGCCCCGAGTAGAAAGAACCCCTTTCCGCCTTCACGCCAGGCGGTCCGCTAAAATTCCAGGATTAGTCATCGACGTCGCGATGGTGTTCATCATCCTGATCTTCAGTGCCTTGGTTGGGGTCGGTGTTTCGGGTCTTTGGAAATTGCTCGAAAAGGTTTGTCAGAGAGGCTCCAAGAGAGCACCTGAGATGAGTAGAATAAAGCCCCGAAAAGGAGGATGTTGGATTCGTATTCGCACCCGAAAATGCTTCAAGCGTGTTTGCGTAGAACGAATCTTGTTGGTTGGTAGAAAAAGCCCAAAAGCCCCAACTAAGGGAAAGCCCAAAACCTTAAAGTTGTTGGCTTGTTTGTGGCATGTTTTGGCATGTTGTCTTGATGTGGCATGCTTGGTGTTGAAGGGAAATGATGAGAGAGTGCCGGAAGGAGGCTTAAAGCAGCCAGTGACTGGGCATCTGCGGATGCTCAGAGGGCTGCCCCTTCCAAGAAGTGGCACATGCTCTGATCCCTTGATCTTGGATCGTGATGATGTTGAAACGTCGTTTTCGTTAAACCAACCGAATCGTTCCCCACAAAACCCGGAACAACCTCCTGAAGCCCCAATTCCACAAGGAGAGGAGATTGAAGAAAGGATCCCGTTGCGTAGCCACGCACTCCAGGTACATCGATCCCGAGGTCATTTTCCCTATGATGTAGACTGCGAAAGCTGCTGCTCTAGCAAAGGCAAAGTCCCAGCCAGGAGACTGAAGAGGCAGCTACAGAAGGAGAATCAAACCATTGGGGTCGATTTCTATTATTTTGGGAAACTGAGGGTTCTTCTTCTTGTACATGTTGCGTCCCGGTACTCAGTGTCTATCCCCGCCATGGAAGTACACGACCCGAACGTGTTATTCAATATCGATCGGTTTATCCGCGAAATTGGATTGCACCAAAAGACTTTAACGTTTCGGTGCGACAACGAACAGGGTCTGATATCCATGTGCGAGAGGGTCGCGGCGCAGAGGCGCGAGAACCCTACGATGGTAGATGTTGTGCCAGGATACCGTCCGCAGTCTAAAGGTGCTGTGGAAAGGCAGGTCTCTGCAATGAAGCAGGGATTTTGGTCGATATGGCTCGACCTAGAGGCGGAAGTAAAGCGTCGACGACCTGCTGAAGAAGGTGGTGCCGCTTGGCAGTTACCTTTAGGTGGAATGTTGTGGCAGACTTGTTTGCTGTATGCTGCACGCAGTGTCAACTTGTGGAACTTTGACAGCAACAACAGTACCACAGCAACAGACAGGTTGCACGAGGAAATAGTCCAAAGGACTAGGACGCTTCCCTTCGGTTGTTCTGCGCAGGCCAAAGTTGGCGGTTCCAAACGACATCTAGAAAAGTTCCGGGGAGCCAAGACGGTTCGAGTGAGCTATCTGGGCCCCGTCCATCCTAGAGGTGGAGGTGTGTATGGAACTGTCATTGGAGGAGATGGAGAGATTGAGGTCTTTCCAGCGTGTCGTGGGATCTTTGAACGGGACGAACCCACGTACGACAGCCCAACGTTGGAGCTGTTAGCTAAAGCTAATCCTCTTGTGCTTGATACGCAGGACCCCGAAAAGCCTTTGCTGTTTGAACCGCCTGCGGAACCCATTGTTCCAAAAGAAGAGGAAATCGAAGCCCCAGAGGACGAAGAAATGATCCCGGAATTTGTCCAGGACTACGAGCCCACGGAACTGGGCTCTGAGGGTCATGAGGGGGTAGCCGGGGGTGACCTCCCGGAGCCCGACATGGAGGACATGGAGATTGATTGGCTTACGGATCATCATCTTCAGAAGTTAGGTGAAGGACCTGACTGCCGCGCTGGGAGCAGCCAAGCGGCGTCTTCCTTTGAGCTTAAGTTTGGAGGGAGTAGAAGTTGTTGTCAGGTCCCACAACAAGCCGTGTCAGAGACCTCTGGTGAGCGGTTATATCCCAAACTCCTCTACCTGTCCATAGTGCACATAGAGTTGATAGCTGTGTTTCTCCGACAACTAGTCGACGAGGAAAGATTGACGCTGGAGTATATACCGGGGAAACTCAACCCCGCAGATGCTCTAACGAAGTCTCCAGCTGCGGAGAATTTGGTCAGTCTTTGTGGGCCGCTGGCCTCATTATCGAGCCAGAATCGTGGTCGTCGATATCCGAAGAAAACGTCAAAGAAGTAAGAAATGAGCCCAATATCACTGAGGAAGTATCTTCGAACGCAGTAAGGTCCTCTCCGCTGGAGGTTCCCAGCTCCAGAACGACGAGCGACACTGTTCCTTTAGCGAGAGCTTGTGCTCTAGAGAAAGGCATAGCGTACTGCGGAGTGACTCGGGAAATCAATCTTCTGAGTAGGAACATCTTTCTTGTCCTGAAAGAGGTCTTAAGAGTCCTGAAACAGGGAAAGGTCCGTGTCTTTGCGCCTTTGCCTACGCTTTGCAGCTCAGGCTGCCCCTTGAGGTACCTACGTTTTCGCAAGCGACGAGGTCTGGAACTTTGGCGGAAGACGATAAAGACCCACAAGAGTCACTGGAGACTAATAGGGAAGCTCTTCGGCCCCTATGCCTCGAACGAGGGTTTGCTGTTAACCCACGAATGGCCTGGGAGGTCCTCTTTGTGGAAGGAAACGGTGTTTCTAGAAGTCTCTAAAGGCCTTGGTCTGACGCAAGGACGTCTAGTAGATAGGTGCTGCTTCGAGAAGAGAGAGAAGACTTGGAAGAGATGTTGGTTCGCTGCTCATAGTGCTGCCTGCGTTTGGGAGCTGTCTTTGTACGTTTGCGCAGGAAGCTACGAAAACTCGAAGAGTGCGTCTCTGAAGGAGTCTAGGACCTACCCGGAAGAGCTTGGAAAGGCTCTTGTCAGGATTGGAAAGAAGATCCTGAAGCAGGAGGAAAGAAAGGACTGACAGGAACTACCCAAGGACCATCTGTGCCATTTTGGCTCAAGTTTTACTGCTCAAGGCATTTTGCCTGTGTTGTGGTAGGGAGCTTTCTGTGAAACTGAGGCTTTTGTCCTGAACTCTGTGGGGTAACAGGCCTTTCCTCAAATCCCAGGTTGAGCCTCTCGAGCCATAGCATCTGAGCAGCAGAGGGGATTCGGCAAATCCACACACTTGTGGTGAGGCTTGGGTGTCCCAGCCTAACCCAGTGATTCGTGGTGTGGTGTTGTTCTTGAGTCAATTGCAGTCATGCCACGCTCTCGAAGTTACACTGTCTGTCAGTTCTGCAATGACTCCTGGATTTACAACCACAAAATCAAGCACCGCCCGTTTTGCAGATGTGGGCAGCCATGGCCCTTGCAGCAAGTGAGCTACAGCCAGGACTCGTCTCCTGGGCAGCCCCAATGGTCCCCCAATCGGACTGTTTTTGCAAAGCCAACCAAGCCTGGGAAAACCCAGCCCCACAAGGGTTTTAAGGGTGCCCAGGTCCTTGGTGAGCATTGGGACTCCTTGCCTGATGCAGTACAGAGTGTGCTCCGAAAGAATGGGTTGGCCCCATCGCAGCCCGCTGAACAAGAAGATCCGCTGATCAAACTGTTGCAGCAGCACAAGCATGCTTTGCCGGACCAGATCAAGGCAGAGCTTGACAAGAGGGACCCTGAGCCTTTTGAAGTTGCCCTTGCTGCCCAAGATGCTTTCAAGACTGCAGTGGGAAAGCTGAGGGAATTGGGCAACAGGAAGCTGCTTTTGCAGCAACGCATTGACAATGCAAAGGCCGCATTCACGGCATTGCTTTCGCAGATGCAAAACTTGCAGGCGGAAATCAAGGAAGCTGAGCAGAAAGTTGAAAAAGTTGGGGGAGACTACCACGAGAAAGTCCTCAAGACGGACGACGAAGCCGATCCTATGGATGTGGAAGCTGTGTTGGGTCAGCTTGGTGTCCAGCTGACCCAGGAGCAGCAGGCTACTTGGAAAGCCATTCAAGCCGAGCATGCATCCAAGCGCCGCAAAGCCGAGGCTATGGAATCTCCGCCAGGCCTTGGGCTAGGAGATATGCTGGGTGCTGGGGCTCCAACTAAGCCGCTGGTCTCCCCACAAAAGCTTGGCCCCGCTGAAAATCCCCATCAAAAGCATGAGAGAAGCCGTTCCCCCAAGGAGAGGGAAGGGAAGGATGGAGAATCTGAAAAGTAGGAAAGGGGCCGAACTGAGGAGGCTGGGATTGCTGCAGGCCCGCCACCTCGGTGTTATGGCCACACACCTGCGCAACTTGACTCTCCGACTGCGCCTGGGCTTTTGGGTGGCTCCTTTTCCCTTTGTTCGTTTCTTGCTTCCCAAGCCAACTGGTGCTCAGTTCTGATTTCGCAAGGTCAGGTGCTGTTTGACAAGTGGGTGCTGCAAGTGAGCGAGGATTTGCTTCCCGTTGACTTGAAGTCTTCTCACGATCTTTTAAACTGGTGTGAGGCAGTTTGTACCTTCCTTGCTCAGGACGAATGTGCATCTGACCTATTTAGGGTCCCTGGTGGCCCTCCTTTTGTGACAGGCCATCTTCGTGATGGTACGATTGGGAGTGCACTCGCTGCCGTTTTCCATGCATTGCCACTTCCGACCTTTACCGCTGAAACACCTATCCTAGAAGAACCGGCTTGGGTGTTACCCGTCCGGACTGTTAAATGGTCTCCTGCAAGCAGGGCTGTGCCCTTGAAGACCACGGGCCCTTTGTTCTTTTCCCAATCCCTGTTTGATGATGGAGATACTGTTGTGTCCTCGCTGGAAATTGTGGAGCCTTCGGTCAGGCCTAGAAGGCCGAAGACTGGCACCCCGACATCTCATCCCCGGCTGACCCGTCAGAAGAAAAGCAAGGAATGGATGGGTCTCCTTGATATTCTTGAGGCTAAACCAGTGATGGATATGCCGGCTAAGGAGGCTGAACTGCTCCAATGGATTGAGGACTTTGGGGAGCAGTACGAACAAGGATCTTTGGAGTGCTGGACCTTGAATAGGATATGCCAACTTCTGGAGCGGTCTAAAGATGACACCCTTGGAGTGATCGAGGCGATTGAGGCTGTTCTGGCTGGTTTCCGCAAACAGAATCCTGGTCCCAAGTCCCTCCTCATAGGTCAAGCCAACATAACTTCGTACCGAAGCGAAGTGCGTACTTGGTTGCTGGACCGTGACGAATCCATCTGGCTGTTGCAAGAAACCCATGTCCCTGAATCAGGTACTAAAGCCCTGGTCAATAAATTCCAATCTGTTGGCAGACAAACATGGGTAGGGCCGGCCGCTCTGACCCAGGGAGGAAGCTCAGGAGGACTTCTCACTCTTGCACCCTCGCATCGCAATGCTGCCACAGGCCCGGCCTTTATGTCTGAAGGCAAGGGGTTTGTTTCTGTTTCGATTCGATTTCAGGGCTGGGATCTCTTGTTAGTTAACTTGTATCTCCAGTCAGGAGTGGGCCCGACTGGTGGACTCAACCCGGAGATCCTTTCTCGTCTGGCAGCGGTCCTTGACCAAACCAGCACCCAGTGGCTGGTGCTTGGTGACTGGAATTGTTCCCCGTCCGAATTGCTCCGCCTAGGGTTTGTTTATAAAGTGAAGGGCCAGGTTGTCGCCCCTAATGGTCCTACCATTAACACTGGAGGCACCTTGGATTATGCTGTTGCCTCCAAGAGGATGGCCCCATTGCTCTCCGTCTCGTCCTCTTGGGATGTCCCATTCAAACCGCATTGCGCTGTGACGGTGGAGCTCAGGGTTGGGGTTGCAGATCTGCCTGTTCGTCAGCTCAAGGGCTTCCCGTTGGAACCCACTGCCCTCTGCCCGGACGAATTGTCCATGCCGGAAGTCCAACCTGGTGGCCTTTGGGATTGGTCCCGACCGATTGATTATGAATGGGCTTCTTTCACTGCTGGGGTGGAAGAACAACTCTTCTCTGTGCAGGCAGGTAGAGGGTGGAAGCTGGAGGTCTCTTTCTCGCCACTCGTGAAGACCACCAGCCCGGAAAAACTCTGGAAAGGGTCGAGCCCGGCTTTTTGGCAATCCTTCCTCACCTGGACCTCTAAAGCCCTGGGCACTAATCCTGACCCTAGAATCACCCCCCTCTTCGTGGAGGCGAAGAATCGCATACCTGAATTCTGGTCTGAAATGGCCTCTTGTACTGCTCAGGCCTTGCAGGACCTCCTAGGTGCTCCTGACATGCAAAGCCATCACCTTGCACTTGAGATTATCGCACACCAGGGGCGATCAGCCTTGAAAGAGGCGGTGCGCAAGAGTGATGAAGCTTACTCGCAATGGTTGCAGGAAGCTTGCAAAGGGGGTATGCGAGGCCTGTACAAGGCTTTGAAGTCTGAAGATTCCATCCCGGACAGGCCATACAGAAACATACCACTCGAAATTCGCCCGCACATCAGGCGGGCTCACTGGGCTGACGTGTGGCAGCCCATGCCTGGCAATGAGGTCAATCCCAATGTTGATTTTGATTGCCTCAGGGATGCTTCTGTAAGCCAAGCCATAACCCTTCCCCCCATAACAGGTCCAATGGTGGCGAAGGTGATCAAACGAATGCCGACTAAAGCTATTGGTGCAGATGGGTGGAGTGTCCAGATGCTTAAATGTCTTGCCCCCTTGCAGCTTGAAAGATTGGCCCAATTCTTTAATACCTGGGAGGGTCAGGGTGCCTTCCCGACCCAGCTCTCGGTTGTTCTGGTTGCACTCATTAACAAGTCTGAGGATGAGGAGCGCCCAATTGGACTGACGCCAGTCCCATACCGATTGTGGGCAAAGATACGTTGGCCTGTCTTTGAGAAATGGCTCCGGGAATATGCTGCCACCCAGGATTGGGACAGGGCAAAGAAGGGCCTTTCAAGTCTTGATGTTGCGTTGCGCCGTAAGCTGTCGCATGAAATTCTCCATCGGAAAAAGCGACATTCAGTGACAGTGCTTTTGGATTTAAAGGCCTTTTATGAAAATGTCCGACATGATAATTTCGTCAATCAGGCCATTTCCCTCAAAGTTCCGCCGTTGATCCTGAATGCAGCAATGTCGCTATACTCTGCTCAGCGCTTGATCAGTGCTGAACACTGTGTCTCTGGTCCGATCAAGCCCACCAAGGGCTTAGTTGCGGGCTGCCCATTTGCGCCTGGCCTCAGCAAGATCCCTTTTGACGAGATCCTGCGCCCGGCATGGGTTTCTGGCCTTGCCAAAACCATTGATCTTTACATTGACGACACTAGCTTTGACACTGAGGCTGGTAACCCCCACACAGCAGCGCGCCGGGCGGTGCAATTGTATAAGGCTGTGGTAGGAGGTTTGACAGCTGCTGGCCTCCCAGTCAGCCTGGGCAAGACAGCTTTTGTATGCTCGTCTCCAAAAGTTGAAGCTGCCCTTAAAGAGTATCTTCCTGAATCTGATCAAATCAAGAATGCCGCGAAGGACCTGGGGATTGATTGTACGGCTGGGCGTGGAAGGCGCATTCCGTTCCACCGTAAAAGGTTTGGGAAGGGCGTTAAGCGCAAGGCTAGGCTCTCGACCCTGCGTGTGAAATCGATGCCAGCTAGGGTCAGAGCCCTGAGGGCGGGGGTCCAAACTGTGGGCCTCTATGGCCATGAGGCAGTTGGGCTTGCGCCAAAGCGTATGCATTGGTTGCGTGCTTCCTTCGCACATGAATTGGGGCGAATGTCTTTGGGCTCGGTTGACCTCACCATTGACCATGCGTGCCCTAAGCGGCCGGACCCGGCCTTTATTATCATTTCCCAGCATTTCAAGGCCATTCACAGGCTTCTGGGCTTCATTCCCGATAGCCAAAGGCAGCACTTTGATGATGTCTTGCCGGGTATGTGGCTTGAGTACTCACAGGTGGAGTACCCCTGGAAGCGCGCTGCAGGGCCGGTTGGGGCCCTCCTATGCTACCTGCTTGACTTGGGTTGGACCCCGGTCAGTGCGGACACTTGGAAATGCCCTGAACAACCGCACAGCGTCACCACCAAGGTAGGCATGCACCACCTCCTTTGCTCCCTTTCTAAGGAAACAGATAGGTGGAGGCTCGCACGTATAGCCCAGCACGACATGCTTGAACCTCTGAGTGTGGGAATTGATTGGGCCCCCCTCAGAAAGCTTAGGAATAAGATGGCAGGCCAGGAGAGGTCAGGACTCATGGCTGTTTGGCAAGGAGCAATTCGTGCTGATCCTTGTGCCACTTGCCTGAGGTGCGGCTGTGCTGCTACCATGCAACATGTCTTATGGGAGTGTGACTGGTGGCAAACCAACCTCCCGGAACCGGCTTCCTCTCCTAGATTTCGGCAAGAGTGGCCCATTTCGTCACTGTGGGCCAGGGGCCTTCTGCCGATTTCGCCTTACCCTGATGACGGGGAATGGGTACGAACTACTGGTGCCTGGTGTGATGGCCAGATCATTTGTGGCGAGGCGATATACTTTGCTACTGATGGCTCCCCGGGGAAATCCAAGGACCCCAGGTTCCATCGGTATACCTGGGCTGCGATTGCCTTTAAGCTTGAAGGGGATGAGCCCGTCACGATCGCGACAGCTGTCGGCTCACTGCAATCTCCGCTATCGGTGTTCCGGGCGGAGGCAGCGGCTGTCAAGTTTGTAGCTGAGCATAGTGAAGGGAACGCAGACCTCACCTTGGATTGCAAGGGCATCCTGCCCAGAGTGAATGGTACACCTTCCATCCAGTCTGCCGACCTCTTCGACCCCATTCGACTGCATGCACAGAGACTCAGCCTTAACTGGGTATCCTCGCATTTAACGGAAGAACAATTCCGAGCAAAGTTTGGTGCTAACCAACTTTGGAGGCGACGTGCTAACGAAATTGTGGACCAGCTTGTTGGCACGGCTGCAGAAGCTCGTAGGGACCTGAACTTTGAATCCCAAATTAAAAAGCGTGATGCAGTTGCCATTCAGGTTAACACCTTACTGGCCAGGAGAGCTGCAGCTCTCCTGTCGTATGACAAGGACCAAGGACCGCTGGTTCAGTGGCCTGACAAAGAGCAACGAAAGCTCCGCCAAAAGCCCAGGGTCAGGGATTCGGGTGTCCTGAAAAATTCTAAGCTCCCCAAAATCAAAGGTCCTAACAAAAGGGAACAGATTGAAGGCCTTCTTGCTGGTACACAGAACTTGGGGCACACCTGGGTAGAGGGTTGTAGGCTTCCTTCCAACCTTTCAGCGCGGTGCTCGAGGTGTGAGCTATACATCCAGCAGACTGAGCCCCTCCCTACCTTTTCCCTTAAGATCAAGCACCCTTGCCTAGGTGTTCAGGCGGACCCTCCTCCTTGGGATCCCCACCCTGATCATGTGTGGGTTAATTTAGGTAAGTCCTGGGTTTGCTCAAAGTGTGACAAGATGGTCAAAGTTGGTGTCCGCAAAATCCCGACCTGGATTGTAGCGCCTTGCAGGCCCACCAAAAGTAAGGTTGCTACTGCTAGCTCCAAAAAAGCAAAGGAGGTGACTGACACTGGGGTTCAAAGTGTTCGGGCCTTTTTTGTGTCGTCCTCCAGTCAGGAACCTTCACCTAAAATTTCTGTTCCCAAGCCTAAGCCAAAACCCAAAGCGAAGCAGTCTGGGCTCAAGCAAGCTAAGATTGCCTTTTAGCACGCTGCCGCTAAGACTGCCTCCTGAGTATGCCTCCGAAGCATAAATCCCCTGCCTCCAAGGCCTACTCAAAAGCCCGGCCGGGCAAGCGAGAGAGAGCTCGGCTTAGAGGTGCAGCTCCTAAGAGAGCGCCGCCTGCTGGTGTGAACCCCCCGCCTCCCAGGCGGAGAAGGGTGGAACCGCAGGATGAGCAAGCCCCTGAGCCTGGGCCACAACAAGTGCAACCCCCTGAGCCCTTGGTGGATAACCAGGCTCAGGGGAGGAGGAATCCTGGAGTTGTGCTTCGGGAAAATCCTCAGCTCGAGCAGCACAATCCTGTGCACCGCCCCCCAGCCGTGGTGGCAAACCAGGCTGAGAGGGATGAACCTCCTGGAATTGTCCTTCGGGAGAATCCCCATGCACCTGGGGCTGGTCCGGTTATGGGTGCCCCAGACCAGGACAGCTGCTCTGAAGAAAGTGAAGAGGAGCCAATGGTGCCTGATCCCATTGTGCATCCCGAGCCTCCTCCAGCACCGCCAGCTGCGCCTATGTTGCCTGCCCCGTTGAACTTTGACGATATGGATCAAGAAGCGGGCGCAGCCTTTGCTATTGCTGAGAGGGCTCGCAAGCCAGGACTGGTGGCTTTCAAATCCGATCTGGGCTATCCTGGTGTTTTCCAGGCCCTACCCAAGGACCTGATCCACGTGTGGTTCAACGACACGGGGGACAGCACTGCGGCGTATATCCACAATGGAAGAACCAGATTCGGATATGACGCTGGTGGGGGCTACGTCTTGAAGGTTGGGACGAAGCAGGCCTTTGGTGATGAGGTGGCGATTTCGGCCTTGCTGCCTAAGGTGGCAGCCACCATCATTGGGGCTGGATCTACGACACTGCAGGTGCTGCTCTCTGGGCGACCATGGGAGTTCAGGTCCCATTTGGTGGCGTGGTCGATGGTGGAAAAAATCGAGCTCCTCACGGATTATGGTTCTCGGAACCAGATCCACCCTCAGTGGTCCTTGTATGCCTTCGCCCTCCTTTTGCAATTGAGCCGTCATTTTGCTCTTCGTGATGTGTCAAAAACCAACCTGGGAATTAAGCCAGGACTCGGTGCTGCGACGCCCATGTTGTGTTTTTTCGACCTCGCGGATTGGCACTTCGAAGGGCTTAATGCTGGAAGGTGGATTCCCAAGTATAGCTTGCGCAGTTTCGTCGAGACCCTTCGATGTGTCTGTGACGTTACGCCACTGGAGCCGTATCTCCGCAGGCAGGCGGTGGTCCCTTGCCTCAACGAGATTATTGCAGGTCTCCCCGCTGCGCTCAAGGCAAACTTGGAAATCCAAATGGTCCTCATGGACGGCCAACTTTCTGATTGGGCTCACCTTGCTGCATTGGCTAACCAATAAGCTTGGGCCTTCCAAGCTTTTGGTGCTGTCAGTCAGGTCTTGGGGTCTCCAGACCATTCAAGGCGTGGGCCCAGTCTCGTTTGCTGTGTGTGGTTGCAGATGCTCGGGTGTTGAACCCCGACTGTCATTGCCTGCTACCGTGAGTCGTGCTTGGGCGTTCCAAGTGCAGCTAGGCCTTGGTGTAACCAGGCCTCAGGCATGGGTGCCAGCCTGAAGTGAGTGGCGCAGCTTGTAGCTGTAGGGTAGGTGTAACCCCGACTGTCTCACTTCTGAGCTTGGACTCAAGGCCTACTCCTTGCAGCTACTGCGTGAGTGGCTTTTTACTTTCTTAGGGTAGGTGTTCACCCGACTGTTTCACACAGAGCCAATGGACTCAAGGCCTCCGGCCGCTTCGTGCTTGCGTGGTGAAAAATTCACCTGGCTCAAGTTTCGGCTCAACCCCGGTGGGGTGCTCAGGTAGGGAGTGCTGTTGCCTGGAGACTGTACCTAAGGGTGGGCTCCAACAGGACTCAAACCGCAACCACTGTGTTTGCTTGGTAGTCGGCTGCCAGCAATATAGCTGCCTGAGTTGAGGGAACTTTTCGGCCTCGCTTCGGCAGAGGGTGTGTTTTCGGCCTCGCTTCGGCAGAGGGAGTGGCCAAGTTTCGGCCTCGCTCCGGCTGAGGACACATAAAGTTCGGCCTCACTACGGTTGAGGGGATCTTCCGGCCTCGCATTGCTGAGGTGCTGGTGGGACTGGCATCAGGCTGCAGCAGTCATGGGGAAGCATTGTACTGTGTGTGCCCACTGCGAGGTGGGTTGGGTCTGGAATGAAGACTTGTACTACAACCCGTACTGCTGGCATTGCGGAAAGGCGTGGAAAAAGGCCACTTACCGTGAGCGAGCATGGTCAAGCCAGCGGAAGAAGTGGCAATGGCCAAAGGAAGATGCTACTTGGTGGACAAGACCTGCCAAGAACAAAGAAGGGATGGCCGACCAAGCCCTCACGAAGGCGTGGGGTACGCTTTCTATGGAGGCAAAGAAGGCCATCGAAGAAGCAGGATGGAAGCCGCGGACGATGGAGCCGGGGCCAATTTGGCCCCCGGGATTACCTGGCAATGGATCGCAGGCAGAAAGCATGTCACAGAAGGAGTACCATGCGGCCATTGAGACTGTGTGGCAAGGAGCCGAGCCCGCACTGCAAAGGCTCCTCAGAGCGGCGGGTATACCCCCGCCGGGGGACTACAAGCCTGAGGACGAGACGCCAAAGCAGGAACTCAGCCGCCATGTTGGTACATACAGACGGACGACAAACAAGCTGAGAACGCTCATTGAGAAGAAGGTCCGGCTTCAAGACAAAACGGAGAAGATAAAGAGCGAGTTCGAGCAGGCCATGAAGCAGCTTGCGCAAGTCAGCCAGGCCATCCAGGCCACGGAGCTGGAGGTAGCGGAAGCACAGAAGAAGGTCCAAGCCTGTGTGAAGGATGAAGAGGACTCGCCATACAAGGACGTCGCGGACTACCTGGAAAAGGAAGGGATCATCCTGTCTGAGGAGCAAGCGGAGGCGCTCAAAACAAGGATGGCAGTCAAAGTCGTGGAGACAGACTGGACGGGAGTCTTGGGACCAAGAGAGCCGAGCATGCCAGTTGAACTTGGAATATATGGGCCGATGCGCATGTCTCGAGATGTGTCAGTCAGGGCAACGCCGACGGGGCGCGAACGCTCGCCGGCGCGTGCCCAGGGCGAGTGAAACCTCAGGCTGGGACAGGAGCGGAGGGGCCGACACCTCAGGGCAGCTCCTGGTCCGAACAGCCAAACTAGGAAAGCAGGACAAGTAGAGGAGTCTCAATGGGGAGACTCTGATTTCTCTTTTGACGGTGGCCGAAAGCAGTGTCACGGGGACATTGTATGGCCACAGGTACATGGGGAAGGCAGTCAAGCTGTGTGTAGTACCCAAGTGCCTAATACAAACAGCACAGTGGAAGACAGCCAAGAGAGCTGGAGTCCAGTAACGCGGGGTCCAAAGTCAGCCCGTGCTGTGGATAGCAGTTGGGCGGTCACAGGTCCCAGATACTTCGGTCTGGGAGGTGCGGACCATGAGGATGAATGTGTGAATTCGGCCTCGCAAAAAGCAGAGGGAAGCCAAACACAGATGGGAGACCCAACTGCGGTAAGAGGGGATAGCCTAAAGGCCTCGCAGAAAGCTGAGGAAGCAAGGTTGTCGGCCTCGCAAAGTGCTGAGGGTCACCAAAGGAAGCAAAAGCCCAAGAAACGGAAAGCGCACCCAAGAGCACCACCTAAGGATCTACCACAGGAGTGGCAAATGTTGTGTCAAGTGGTGGGTAGATATGATGCTTCCAGTGAGGCTGCCGCACTCGAAGCCATTGAGAAACTGGAAGAGCAGGAACTCAACCCGCTACAACAACGAGCATGCCACGAAGTGCTTCGTTCCTTTGTGGAGCAGGACGCACAATATGCCAAGTGGATCTTGGCAGATGTGGCAAGTGGGTATCGCCAAGATGATAAGGCCGAATGCATCAAAATCACCTCGGCTAACATCACCAGCTGGAGGAAACCCATAGCGGCATGGATACACGAACTAGGACCGGACCTGGTGGTGCTGCAGGAAACCCATCTCAAGACAGAGGGTATCCAGCAAGCCATGAGCCATTGCCAAGATATGGGATACACCTTCATTGGCATGCCAGGCAGTACAAAAACTAAGGGTGTACAAGGAGGCCTGGCAGTGGTGGCGCCCCGACATAGGAACCTGCGATACCTTATTGAGTATGGGACAGGACCGGCGGGCTTCCTGGCATGTGCCATGAGAAATAAAGGCTGGGATTTGATCATCGTCAGTCTGTATTTGGAGAGCGGGGTCGGATTCCAGGCTCCAAACAATGTCCAAGTACTGGCAAGACTGATAGCCTTTCTCAAGGGCTGCAAAGTGCCATATATGGTGCTGGGTGATTGGAATGAAGCCCAGGATACCATGAGGGGCACAACTCTGGCGACAGAAGTTGGTGGTGCATTTGTTGGAGTGGGGGAACCAACGGCCCAAGGATCGGACGAAATCGATTACGGGCTGGTTGCGAAATGCTTGGTGCCCATCCTTCAAGTGAAAACGGATTGGGAAACCCCTTTTCGGCCTCATGCTGCAATGCATTGGAGGGTGGCCCAACCGTGCAGTAGCCCTGATGTTCCCCAGTTGAAGAAGGCGGGAGCACTGGTGACGGAGACTGTGGAATATGAACCAGTACAAAACACACAGAGCATCAACATCTTGGATGAACCCAAGATGGAAGATGAGCTCAGTGAGACATTTGCTCACCTGAGTGCCGGTGTGGAGAGGTCGATCACAGGCCAAATCGACGGTATGGGTGTTAAATCGGAGATTGTGCGGAAGAAATTGGTGGTCAACAACCCGGAGAACGTTGTCTGGACGGGCAAGAGGGCGGCCTTTTGGAACCGGGTCCAACAATGGGTCAAACAAGGCAGACATCATGGCGATGCACATCCGGTGGCGCGTCTGGTCCAACGCAGGCTCGGCGAGTATTACGAGGGTGATGCGCAGAACCAGGAGGATATGCTTGCGAGTATCCTGGGCCGGGGTACGGACGCTAGGCTTGTTCTGAAGCGCATCGACGAACAACAATGCTACGCGAGAAAGGCGGATATGGAGGAGACAGCCCACCAGTACATGCCTTGCGAAAAGAAGAACAAGTGGTACAAAGACCCTACATGGAATATGACATGCTGGAACGGCCACACATTCGCCGAGACCACTGGGCGGCAGTGTGGACGACGGGCCAGCCGTTGGCAAAATCGGCCTCGCTCATGACGGAGCTTGAGGATGCAGCCAAAAAACAAGCGGCCAGCGTGGAGCCGCTGAACCCTGTCGAGGTCAAGGCAAGGATCAAAAAACTGGCACTAAAGAGCCCGGGGCCGGATGGCTGGAGGATTGACCATTTGCAGGCCATGGACGATAAAGCAGTTGAAGCCGTTGTGTCCTTCTACCATGAATGTGAGGCCAAGGCAGCATGGCCGCAGCAAATGACAGTCTCCCTTATAGCAATGCTGCCGAAGAATCTGACCCGGGAAAGACCAATCGCCTTGCTACACATCCTGTACAGGACTTGGGTCCGTCTGCGATGGGATTTGGTAAGTACTTGGCAGGCAGGCTATGCCACAGCTGCCACGTACGACAAGGCAGTCCCAGGCAGTTGCTGCTTGGACGTGGCCGTCGGCAGACTACTGCGAAATGAGGTGGCAAAGACAAATGGAGTGCATGTGGTGTCACTCTTTGTGGACCTCGAGTCCTTTTTCGATACCATCCAATTTCAGCAATTGATCAGGGCAGCAACGGCCCTGCAATATCCACCGCTTATCCTGAAGATGGCACTGGAAGTGTACATGGGTGCCAGATACTTGGTGGCGGATGGGGTGCTATCGGCAGGCATCAGAGCTACAAATGGCGTGCAAGCGGGTTGCCCAGCGGCGCCATCGTTAGCAAAGGTGGCATTGCACCCGGTGATAGACAAGATCCAAAGGCGACGAGATGTGGCAAACGTGGACTGTTGGTTGGATGATGTCTCAATTGACATCCAGCATAAGTCCTTTAAACACGTGGCGGATAGTGCCATACGAGTCTACCGCAGCTTAAAGGACGGGATGGATGCTAATGGTTTCACGATTTCATCCAAGAAGACAGGGTTTGTGGCCAGCAGTACCCAGGCGAGCAAGCACCTGCGTGAACTCCTGCTGCCTCATGAGCCACAGGTGTACGACGTGATGCGTGACCTGGGCGTCGATAGTACAGGGGGGCGAAAGCGTCGCTTGGTGACGTCGGCAACGCGGGCCAAGAAAGCCCATGCGAGACATAGCAAACTGTCTAGGCTGGGGCCGCCGCCCAGCACTAAACTCCGCGTGGTCAAGGCAGCGATCACATCAGTTGCTTTGTGGGGGCACCCCTCTGTGGGGGTTTCACCCAAAAGAATGAAATGGCTCCGAACAGTGGTAGG